AACCCCTTGTAATGATTGCAGCAAATTATACGTGGGCGAAACATCAAGAGACCTCCAAAAGCATATTTCAAAACACCAATATGCAAGCAGGTCTCATAATACAAGGAATGCCTGTGTACAACACCGTAATTCACACAACCATTTAATAAACTTCAGAAACTCAAGACTTATCGCCACAGAAGACAACACTCAATACCGAAGAATCCTGGAATTATCTCTTATCTCTATATCCAACAACATCAACCAGAACAATGGCTTCTATAACATAGCTGAACCACTTGCCAAGACACTGCTTCATCGCTATCCCACATAAGAACATAGGAATGGAGGAACACTGCAGAAGATCTGCTCACAAACTTGTCCAATCTCCCTTCCAAGCTACCCAAGATTTTAGACTCTATAACCCACACTCGGTACATCATCAGATGCAGCATTCTCCACTTAACCACAGAATTCTGAACCTGACTATAAATACTCGCGTACCTTCCGCCCAGGTAGATCTGTTTGTGACTTGAAAAAGCCCATTGTGTGGGCGAAACGTTGTCAATAAAGTATCACATTATACTTTATATGTGTTTATATTTCCATTGTGTCGGTATTTTATACTACATATTTCCATCTAGGAATTACATTAGCCATCTTCCACATATCAGACACTACACCTGTTTGAAGAGATAAATTAAAAATATTAGTTAATGGTTCACAGAGTTCCATTTTGCATTACTTAAGAACCCTTGAAAAAACCTCATCAGGACCCTGTGACTTATTTTGCTTCAGTCTGTCTATCTGCTTCACAACCATTTCACTAGTGACTGTGATGTTACATAATTTATCTTCTTCTAGCCCACTATAAAAATTAATTACCGGAATATTATTAGTGTCTTCCTGTGTAAAAACCGAGAGAAAATAATTATTTAAAATCCAGCACATTTCATTCTCTTTGTCAGTAAGATGCCCATAGTAATTTTTAAGGGGACCTATCTTATCTCTGACTTTTGTTCTATATACCTGGAAAAAACTTTTTGGGTTAGTTTTAGAATCCCTAGCAACTTTAATTTCATAGTCCCTTTTAGCTTTTCTTATCCCCTTTTTAATGTCCCTCTTAATGTCAATATACTGATTCATAAGATGACCCTCACCTCTTTTGATACGCCTATAAATTCCTTTCTTCTGCCCTAAAAGATATTTGAGCCTATTATTCATCCATTTTGGGTCATTTCTATTCGACCTAATTTCCTTATATGGGATAAATGTTCTTTGGGAAGCATGTATTGTGTTAAGAAAGCTCTCATACTGATAACTCTCTTCGTTACCCCAGTCCACAGATGATAAGTGTTCTCTAAGCCCATCGTATTCTGCTAAGCGAGAATCTGGGACCATTACTGAATTATCCCTACTGTCACACTTCCATTCAATGCTAAAGTTAATTGATTTCTGATCGCTTGTGCCGAGTTCCTCTGTAATTTCTAAATTACTAACAAGGGTTTCCTTGTTTGCCAGAACCAAGTCAAGCAGGTTATTTCCCCTTGTAGGTTCTGTCACAAAGTGCTTCAAAAAACAATCCTGAACTACTTCTAAGAAGACGTTAGATTCTAAATTCCCTGTCATGAAATTCCAATCAATATGACTAAAGTTAAAATCCCCTAGAATTACTATATTATCGTGCCTTGTGGCCCTAACAATTTCCTCCTTGGCAAAATACCACATATGACAGGGTTCCCACCCTTTTTCCTAATTATTTCCATTGCTGACCTATACCTGCTAACCAGGTCCTCACTCCTATGTCTGCAAACATCGTTGCCTCCTGCACTGAGGCAGATAATAGGATTGCTCCCATTACCTTTCATGATGTCGTTCAGACGGCTGACAATATCTCCCGTCCAAGCCCCAGGAAAACATACCCTCTGCCTCCTTTTCCTATCCCTAAGACAAAACGCCCTATCCATAAACTTAACCTGTCTCCAACTAAAACAATGTTCTTACCTTTACTTGTGGAATTCGTCGTGACGTTCTCGATGGTCTTCATTGGGGTTTCTGGGGATGTTTCACTCACGTCTGCCAATGCTTCCTAGGTGCTCGTTGTGACGTACCCAGTAGACAACCCACATTCGTCAGGTAGCACCGAAAATGGGTTGGAAGTTTCCATAGTAGTCTTCTGGTTCTTCGTTGTTTCTGCTTCTCCAACAGTCTTCTTGATCCTCAGCTTGGTTCCATGTTGTGCAGCCACTGACCAGGTTCCTCTCTTAACCGGAGGACTCACAACAGGATTACTACGAATCTTCTTGTTCTCCTCCGTTAATCGGCGTATCTCCAGCTAAGCTCTTCTTTCAGCTGCTAGTAGAGTTGCTCAAGAGAGGGCATCCTGGTTCAGATTTAGAGAGAGCACAAGAACAAATCTTCACAGAGCTAAGTACACGTCACCACTGAGCTAAGTACACGTCATCACTGAGCTAAGTACACGTCACCACTCAGCATTTCAGAACTCTTAGATCATATTCACCATAATGAGCTTCATAACGTTGGTGCTCGTGCATGCAATGTTTACATGATATATTAACCTGTTTCTTAACAATTCTCTAGTGTGATGGAAAAGTTTGTTAGTGAAGAATGGAAGCATGAATGGTGAGGTGGTATAAATGGTTGCATGCTTGTTGGGTATTGGGGAAAGCATTGTTACCATCTCTAACCCCCCCACCTTCTCAACCCGTGGGAGTTAACAATGCGACCCTCCTACATATTGGACATGATATGTAGACACATGTGCAACACTGGGTATCTCTATTATAGACGTTTCGCCATCCAGTGACTTTACCAATAACAAATTTCAGGACATAAGATACCCAGATGTTTGCACGTGAGTCTACAATCATCTTGTTGGTATTGTATGCCGTTCTTGTACATACTGGACTGACTTCCTTCTCCCCACCAAGTTTCCTTATTGTACGAATTGGGTCCGCTCTAACGTCCGAGACAAGGCAGGTAGCTTGATCTATGCACTACCTGGAGTCTACTTGGAGGGTATTCCAGGATCAACTCCCCCGGGCCCTGTCCATGACCAGGCCTCAGGTCACTAGATCAATAACCTAACATCATCTTCAACTGAACACAGCAGTGTGTCGCTTCACCTTTGTAACTGATCACCTGTGGTCCTCAAAGCCTAGCAACAAACCTCCACTGAGGTTTGTTCCAGTATCTTCCATCAGAGAAACAATTATTGGCGTCTATACTATCATCTAAGACTGAAGGTTATAACCAGAGTTTCGACCACCAGCGACTACTTTGTCTGTTAAGTAAGACACATATGCAACAGTTAGGTATCTTTATTGTGAAACGTTTCGCCTACACAGTAGACTTCTTCAGTCAAGTACAGAAAAGTTGATAGAAGCAGAAGATACTTGAAGACGATGTAATCAGTCCATCACCCTTAAAGTTTTGAGGTGGTCAGTCCCTCAGTCTGGAGAAGAGCATTGTTCCATAGTATGAAACAATATGGAGAAGAAGTGACAGGATGGAGCTTTTATAGCGCCAAGAGGTGAGACGTAGGTCCACTAGGAGAGTAAGAACTCAGATGTTGAGAGGTCAGGTCCCTCTCAAATCCAGCCCCTCTCACTAGTGAAGTTGTCGAAGTTGATTGCAGGTCTGTACCAAGATACCCTTGTGTTGCAGTGTCTGACAGATTGAACATTAAAATGGTATAAAATACCGACAGGTTGTTAGGTAAGACACATATGCAACTACTTTGTCTCACACAGTCTCTTCGTTCACACATAGTGACTCCTAAGAGCTACTTGCCACCTCCATCGGTACATCACAATACCTTCTGTCTGTTGTATAACTTCGCTTCACGAAATTCATTTATGCATTTTATTTTTCATTATTTGCTTCAGTTATGAAAATGTCAAGTTTATTTTCAATTTATATAAATATATTTTTGGCATTTTTTCAATAAAATTGTTTTTCTTTTGTTATAATTTATTCTATATTTTCTTTTCCATATTATCTTTTCATACCCTCTGAGGGTCTGAAAGGGCCATTATACTTGTCAATTTCTCTGATGGAGTGATGGAAACTTGTTGCCAAAGTATCATATACTGACCACACCAAGGGTAGGGTTAGAACCCGCGGTCAGAGAGTCATAAAACTCCAGACCAACGTGTTAGCCACTGGATCAGCTGGATACAATAAGATTCATCCATCTAGGTATATGTCTACACCATAGGAAGGTCAGCACAGGCACCACTGTGGTCACAGTGGTGGCCTATGCTAACCTTCCTACGGTGTATAAATATACCTAGTTGGATGAATCTTATTGTATCCAGCTGGTCCAGTGGCTAACACGTCGGTCTGGAGTCTTGACACTCTTTGATCGCGGGTTCTAACCCCACCCGTGGTGTGCTTTGTTGGCAATCGTGTCATTACGATTTCGTGAGTCAGTTACCATATACTGGTTAGTTAATTTTTAAAAGACTTTTTGGGAATTAATAAAAAGTATTGTTAAAGCATTTTATTACATAAAATGTCATATAATTGCACTTAATTCTAACAATGTTCGAGAAATATGTCATAAAATCGACAGTATTTATCAAAATATAATAACAATAAAGTTGATGCAGGAAGTGGAGCCAGATGATCCAGTCTTAAGGTGTTTGTGAGGTGGATCAGTCTTGCCCTCCGTGGGTCACGGTCGTCCACTCTTGACCTCTGTGGTGCGATGTGGTTCAGGCCTGAACCTTGGTAGGGCAAGTTGGCCAAGTTTGATATTCCAGAGAGAGATGATCGAGTTCTGACCTTCTTGCAACGTTGACCAGAGTCTTGACCTTCGCGTCAAGAGGACCACTAATGGGTGGGGTGACACAGCCTTGACCTCCATGAGTTCAAATGGATCACAATTGTCAGTCTCAAATTTAAACCTTCTGTGAACACAATCCTGAATGCACACTGACACATGGATATCAAATCTGCTACAGTCTGCGTTGCTTCTAACACGACTGTTGCTTTTAACAAGAGTGTTCGTTATATCAGAAGTGTTGCCTATAACACAGATGTAGAGGCTGGATGCTGCTGTCAGCAAACCTCACTTGACCATAAGACAAGTCAAATGGTAATCTATGAAGTTAGTGTTATTTACAATAATTATAGAAATGAGAACCTAAAGCATGAAAGCGGAAAGAAAAATAAGAACTTGCACAATTTGCTTGCTATATCTTCCTGACCCCAACTAATAAATAGGAATAATAACTTATTTCGAGGAACGTATTGTTTACTTTATGGTACAATGATACCACAGTAACAAGTGGGGTTCCAAAGCATTACCAGCAGATGCAGAGTGCATTTAGAAATACACGTTTAAGACTAGCTTTTGGCAGCAAATTTCGTTAGTTATAGGTATTAGGTGTCGAGGACGGATAGGAGGCTTGCCCCTCATAGGTGACCTTAGCCAGGTAACCTAAGTCGTTGTTTGCTGTGAAGGTGACCACCTGCTTGCGGCCGTCAGGGAGAACAACAGAATATTCCCCGTTCGTCACCAGTCCATCTGAGTTCGCTCTGTGACTGAACATGTTACCGCTGTATTCGTCGTTGACAGCATAAGCAAAGTCGAACGGCATTCCCTTCTGCAAGTGAGAGTAAATTTTGAGGGACAGGAAATATTAATATTAGCAAAAAGTAGAATCCATAACATTTATATCCGTTCTGAAATTCGGTGATTAAAACTGCAGCATAATCTGAAGGAGCTCACACACACTGAGGTCTGGGGTTCGAATCTCCTGCGGAACGGCTGGAAAATACTCGGGACGTGTTTCCATAAGACACCTGCTGTCCCTGTTCACCCATCAGTGTAAAATGGGTACCTGGGTGTTAGTCGGCTTGTGTGGGTCGCATCCTGGGACAAAAAAAAACTGACCTAATTTGCCCGAAATGCACAGCATAACAAGGGGCTTTCTATATAATAGTATGTCATTGATGTCAGCTATGGTCTGTATACCTTGTACATGTACTTGTATACCTTGTACATGTACTTGTATACCTTGTACATGTACTTGTATACCTTGTACATGTACTTGTATACCTTGTACATTATTTGAGAAAAAAAGTTTTAAACCTGAGGTCTCCTAAAATTTAACTTCTTGATATGAAGCCAAGGATTCTGTTAACTCTATTGCGAACACTAATGCACTGTTGTCTTAGTTTCAGATTACTGCTAACCAGAACTAAATCCTTTTCACAATCAGTAAAATTATGGATCTACATAATTAGTTTATATGTGGCATGGATTATTTCCTGTCCATGTTTAAACATTCATTTGTCTAATTAAACTGCATCTGCCACTTGTCCCGATCACTGCATCAGTCTATTCAAATCATCCTGGAGTGAACTAGTGTCCTCGTCCAAATGATTCGTTGGCCTATTTTGGTCCTCGGCAAACTGCTTATATGCTATTTATTCTCTCTTCTAAGTCGTTTATTGTAGATTCGTGAAAAACAAAGGGGCCCACACTGACCCCTGTGAACACTTCTCGTGAGGCTCCCCCACTCTGAATATCCCCCATTTGACGCAAACTCTCGCTTCCTATCTGTCAACCATGCCTCTATCCAATAGTCTTTGAGTGGACGCTATAAAAAGCCTTACGAAGTCCATTTACACAATATTATATTCATTACCTAGAAAACTACCTCCTCACAAATACTTTAGTGAAAAAAGTTAATTAATTTATAAGGCGGAAACGCCCCATTTGTAAAAGCTGCTAAGATTCGTGATCAGTTTATGATATATTCAAGTAGCTAGTAATTGCCTCGGCAATTATTGATTTCAAACAAATTTTCTACTATGGAGGTTAGATTTATTGGTCTATATTTCGAAGACTAAAGACCTGTCACCTGCTTTGGAAAATAGGTATTTCATTTGCCATTTTCCACTTATCTGGCACCAGCCAGTATTGTCTATATGTTGAAAAGGAATTATTAGACCAAAAAGGTATTTGCTAAGGCTCCTCTTTACATTCCTTTAGAACCCTTGCCAATACAGTTCATCAGGGCTGGGCATTTGTTAGGTTTTAATTTATCTATTTTACCTAAAGACCATGTCACTTGTGATGCAAATCGTGCATAGTTTACATATCTCCGTTCTACATAATTATTATTTTCTGGAATACGCTATAGATTTCCTGTGTAAAAACTGAAGGAAAGAATGTGTAAAAATTCTACACATTTCCTTATCACTGTCAGTGAGCTGACCCGAGGAACTTTTGATGTGTCTATCATGTCCCTGAATCTTACTTCTGTATACCTGAAGAATCTTTTTGGGTTAGTCTCGATTCTCATGCAACTTTACTCATACTCTCTTTTTTGGTCTTTCTTATCCCTTTTTTATTTCTCTCTTTTTAACTGAATATACTGGATTTCTTAATTGCCCCTATCCTCTTTTGATTTGCCTATATATGCCTCTCTTTTGACCAGTGAAATGTTTTAATCTATTGTTCATCCATTTAGGATCATTTTATTTTATATCTGATTTCCCATACGGAACATAAGTTTTACTGAGCACTGAACTAATGCCCTGAAAAAAACCGTCATATCAAGCATCGATCGCCAACTACCTGACCTATAGTCAGGTTATTCCAATTCAGCTAAACCAGGTAATTTCTCAGTCCTATGAAATCAGCCAAGCAGAAGTAGTCAGGAACTGAGACCTGATTGCCATTATTAGGGTAATTCCGTGATATATTAAAATTGAGTGATTAGCGATCACTTTCCCCAAGTTCATCATTAACCTCAAGATTATTAATCAGTGATTTCCTGCTGGCAAGAATCAAGTCAAGCAGGTTATTTCCTCTAGTTGGCTATGTCATAAACTGTTTTAAAAAGCAATGGGATATTTAGAGTCACCTGACTCTAAATATCCCATCAAATTGCTCCACTCAATTTGTCTAAAATTGAAATCTCCCATTACCACAACATTTTCGTATGTAGATGCCTTACGAATTTTGTCCCATAAAAGATTACTGCACTCCCTATCAAGATTTTGGACCCTGTAAATCACACCATTGATTAGTTTTTCACGGCCCTCGAGAAGCTGTAACCAAACAGATTCAGTGGCTGATGCTTCTAATTTTATATCATGTCTAACACAGCAAGTCAAATGATTTCTGAACAATCGCTACAATCCACCACCCTTCCTCTTGACCTCACAAGTGTTGGAATTAATTATTAGCATTGTATGGGCGTGCAGAAGACAATTTTCCTCCATCTTTTCAGACTGAGCCAGGTCTCTGTTATAGCAATAATATCTATGCTTCCTGCATTTGCAATTAATCTTAGCTCATCTATCTGATTTCTTACACTCCTGCTATTAGTATAGTAGACTTTAAGGGAGCTAGTCCATTGCTGCCCTCTGCTGTCTCCCTTTGCTAACCTGATCCATTGTCTTTATTTGTAACTTTATGATGAATACTGTCTAATAAACATTTACCATTTTCAGCTCTAGTGCTGCAACCTGACTGTTTCCCACACACACCCATACCTCTATCTTCTATCAGTTTAAAATCCTAGACATGTCAGCAATGGCCCTCTCGATCGAGTTGGCAAATGCTACCACCCCTGCCCCAGAAAGATGTACCCCATCCCTTGCATACATATCACGTTTGCCATGAAAGTTCTTCCAGTTGTCAATGAATGGGACTGCAAGTTCCTTGCAGTATCTGTCAAGCCAGCAATTTACACCAGTTGCCCTAGACATTCATTCATTGTCCACTCCCCTTCTGGCAAGATGCTACATATGACTGGGACCCCTCCCTTAGACCTAGTTAAATCTGCAGCTGACCTGTACTAATCTTTTTTTTTTTTTTTTTTTTTTTACACAGGGTTTGACAATGTTAAGGATCCCCAGCTTTATTGACACCTATTTACAGGTTAAGGATTCCTAACTTTATTGGCAAGCTAAGAGCTGTTACCTACATCAGCTCATTTGAAAGCATTTTTATTGTTATGAGACATACAAGCAGCTCATCTCTCCTACCCTTCCAGACATCATTTCAACCAGCACTGAGACAGATAATGGGCTTGTTCCCATTACCTGACATGATATTACCCAACCTGTTGACTATGTCACTAACAACAGTGCCAGGAAAGCACACCCACTCTTCCTCACCTTCTTATCCCTATTACAGAAAGCACGGTCCATATATCTTTCCTCTGAGTCATCAACCACAAGAATTCACTTACCTCTATTAGCAGGAGAAGTAGTACCTTTACCTTCACTGATCACTGAAGTACACTCATCCTGAAGAACAGAGAAGCGATTTCCTACCTTCAAATCTTCTCTTTTAACTTTATTTTGATGCTCCTCCCATTACTGGGAACCACTCGCCACTTGTAGCAGGTGCTGGACTGCACCTCACTGCGGGGAGCCTTTTCATCCTCCCTAGCTTCAGCCTCTTCGCAGCGAGTGACAGACTGCTCCTCACTGCTGGTAGCTTTATTCCCCTCACCCACTCCAGCCACCTCACACTCACTTCCAAACCCATCGAGGTGAGCCTTCAGCCTCTTAGTTTCTTCCTGGAGAAGTAGGACCTCCTCTTTCAAACCTCTAACCTCAGATTTTAAAGCACTAAAGGAGCAAGCCATGGCTTTGTAACCCTCGTCACTAATCCCCAAAGTCGAATTTATGGAGTACATGTGAAATTCGAAGATATTGTTTCTTACCTCACCATAAGACTGGTTAGGAGTGTAGCCAGAAGTTAACTGCCGGGATTCAAGATCATTTTGTGATGAAATTGCTGAGTTGTGTAGACCCAGTGAGCCAGCCACACCTCCCAGAGATCCTGAGGCTCTGTATGATGCTGTTAGGTCACGCGACCCTGATCCTCCAGAGTAGCTTTGGCCTGACCCTGAACCACTGCTTCCTGTGCTTCGAAAACCTGGTTCTCCTGAGTAGCCCTGACCTGACCCTAAACCACTGCTTCCTGTACTTCCAAAACCTGGTCCTCCTGAGTAGCCCTGACCTGACCCTAAACCACTACGTCCTGTACTTCTAAAACTTGATCCTCCTGAGTAGCCCTGACCTGACCCTAAACCAATACTTCCAGAACTTCCAAAACCTGATCCTCCTGAGTAGCCCTGACCTGCCCCTGAACCACTGCTTCCTGTACTTCCAAAACCTGATCCTCCTGAGTAGCCCTGACCTGTCCCTGAACCACTGCTTCCTGTGCTTCCAAAACCTGATCCTCCTGAGTAGCCCTGACCTGACCCTAAACCACTGCTTCCTGTGCTTCCAAAACCTGATCCTCCTGAGTAGCCCCTGACCTGACCCTAAACCACTCTCCCCGTACTTCCAAAACCTGATCCTCCTGAGTAGCCCTGACCTGACCCTAAACCACTGCTTCCTGTACTTCCAAAACCTGATCCTCCTGAGTAGCCCTGACCTGACCCTAAACCACTGCTTCCTGTACTTCCAAAACCTGATCCTCCTGAGTAGCCCTGACCTCACCCTGAACCACTGCTTCCTGTGCTTCCAAAACCTGATCCTCCTGAGTAGCCCTGACCTGACCCTAAACACACTGCTTCCTGTCCCTTCTTTCAAAACCGTGATCCTCCAGAGAGCCCTACCTGTCCCTGAACACAGCTTGCCTGTGCCTTCCTAAAACCAACATTAATTATCTCATTTGAAGATTGATAAGCTGATGAAGATTCTGATTTGAATTTAGAAGAACCAATTGAGGAAGCAAAAGAACCGAAGTTCTGTTCAGGTGCTCCATAGGTCGGTTTAGGTGGTCCATATGTAGGTGTAGGTGCTCCATATGTGGGTTTAGGTGGCCCATAAGTAGGTGTAAGTGTTTCCATAAGTTGGTTTAGGTGGTCCATATGTAGGTGTAGGTGTGGTGTAAGTTGGTTTAGGTGGTCTATATGTAGGTGTAGGTGTTTCGTAGGTTGGTTTAGGTGGCCCATATGAAGGCTTAGGTGTGCTGTAGGTTGGTTTAGGAGGCCCATATGAAGGCTTAGGTGTGCTGTAGGTTGGTTTAGGTGGCCCATATGAAGGCTTAGGTGTGCTGTAGTTGGTTTTAGGTGGCCCATATGAAGGCTTAGGTGTGCTGTAGGTTGGTTTAGGTGGCCCATATGAAGACATAGGTGTGTTGTAGGTTGGTTTAGGTGGCCCATATGAAGACTTAGGTGTGCTGTAGATTGGTTTAGCTTGTCCATATGAAGGCTTAGGTGTGCTGTAGATTGGTTTAGGTGTATAAGAAGTAATAGGTGGGCTATAGGTAGGTTTAGGTGGTGTGTAGGCCGGTTTAGGTGTACCATATGTTGGTTTAGGTGGTGTGTAGGCTGGGGTAGGTGAACTGTAAGTCTGTTTAGGTGGCGAATAGGAAGGTTTAGGTGTACCATAAGTCTGATTAGGTGTTGGTTTATAAGTAGCTGGCGTAGTATAGCTTGGGTTTATAGCTGGAGGTCCATTAGCTGGTTCAAGAGCAAGTAAGCCAAAAGCTATGTCTGGCAGGTCACCTGGAGCAAGACCTTCAGGTGGTAGGTAACCTGTGTCAGGTTCCTGGTAGGTGGGCTGGCTGTGGTCTACCTCCTCCCCTGGCAGACCGAAGCCCTTGAATGGTGCTTCATAGCTGTAGCCCTTGTTGAGCTCTGGTTGTGGGCCCGCGTCAGGTGTTGGTGTAGGCACACCCACGACGGCCAACACCACACAACACAACACTGTCACCTGGAAAACAACACTATCACCTACAACAACACTCACTTGCAATACTGCACTGCTGTCTGCAACACAACGTATTAAATCTTCCAGATATATTAAGAGACGCTTCACCGCTGACAAGTAGCACTGAGAATGTTAAAACTGACTTAACAGACTGTGATGTCCTTCAATGATACTAGAAACTGTTAACAATGTTTCTTATACTCAGTTCACTTATATTATTGTTAATCCCACAATACTGATATATATATTATATATAATATATATATATATATATATATATATATATATATATTATATTATATATATATACATATATATATATATATATATATATATATATATATATATATATTATATATATATATATATATATATATATAATATTATATGAACCGTGCGTGTATGTAGTAGTTGCTAGTTTTGAAGGCACTTGTCGATAAACATTGGCCTGTTTCGTGTTTGTGTGTGTGTTGTGTGTGTGTGGTGTGTTGTGTGTGTGTGTGTGTTTTTGTGTGTGTGTGTGTGTGTGTGTGTGTGTGTATGTGTGTGTTGTGTGTGTACTCACCTAATTGTGGTTGCAGGGGTCGAGACTCAGCTCCTGGCCCCGCCTCTTCACTGTGTGCGTGTATGTGTGTGTGTGTGTACTCACCTAATTGTGGTTGCAGGGGTCGAGACTCAGCTCCTGGCCCCGCCTCTTCACTGTGTGCGTGTATGTGTGTGTGTGTGTACTCACCTAATTGTGGTTGCAAGGGTCGAGTCACAGCTCCTGGCCCCGCCTCTTCGCTGATTGCTACTAGGTGTGTGTGTGTGTGTGTGTGTGTGTGTGTGTGTGTGTGTGTGTGTGTGTGTGTGTGTGTGTGTGTGTGTGTGTGTGTGTGTGAGGGTAGAGAGGTATACCTGCAGTAGTTGCATGGTTGGTGGTGGAAGACCAAGTGAATGTAGTGTTCACCTTAAACACCGTATATATATAGCCGTCATTACCTGCTATTAGGTAACCCACACTCTCAACACTAAACTCTACGTTCTTCAACTAGACAGAATTACAAACATTGTTCTCATGCTATCAAAAACACTTTAACTTCACTATCGACCTTGTTAAAGATTCTGGTAAAAATGATGCGTGTTACTGGAACAGCTGGCCCGGTGGCCTGGTGGTTAAAGCTCCCACTTCACACACGGAGGGCCCGGGTTCGATTCCCGGTGGGTGGAAATATTTCGACACGTTTCCTTACACGTATTGTCCTGTTCACCTAGCAGCAAATAGGTACCTGGGTGTTAGTGGACTGGTGTGGGTCGCATACTGGGTGTTAGTGGACTGGTGTGGGTGGCATCCTGGGTGTTAGTGGGCTGGTGTGGGTCGGATCCTGGGTGTTAGTGGACTGGTGTGGGTGGCATCCTTGGTGTTAGTGGACTGGTGTGGGTGGCATCCTGGGTGTTAGTGGACTGGTGTGGGTCGCATCCTGGGTGTTAGTGGACTAGTGTGGGTGGCATCCTGGGTATTTGTGGACTGGTGTGGGTGGCATCCTGGGTGTTAGTCGACTGGTGAGGGTGGCATACTGGGTGTTAGTCGACTGGTGTGGGTGGCATCCTGGGTGTTAGCGGACTGGTGTGGGTGGCATCCTGGTGTTACGAGGTGAGGTGGCATCCTGGGTGTTAGTCGACTGGTGAGGGTGGCATCCTGGGTGTTAGTCGACTGGTGTGGGTGGCATCCTGGGTGTTAGTCGACTGGTGAGGGTGGCATCCTGGGTGTTAGTCGACTGGTGTGGGTGGCATCCTGGGAGACAAGATTGAGGACCACAATGGAAATAAGTTAGTCTTCGATGAGACACTGACTTTCTTGGATTATCCAGCGTGGCTAACCCTCCAGGGTTAAAAATCCGAACGAAATCTTATCTTGGGTGTCAAGCATCAGGTCAAAGTGACAGTAATTATGTTCTTGGTTTGTTCCTCAACATTTTCACAAATTAACCTGACCTACCTGGAGTTTACCTGGAGAGAGTTCCGGGGGTCAACGCCCCCGCGGTCCGGTCTGTGACCAGGCCTCCTTAGGTCAGTGTCCCAGGATGCGACCCACACCAGTCGACTAACACCCAGGTACCCATTTTACTGATGGGGAACATAGACAACAGGTGGAAAGAAACACGTCCAATGTTTCTACTCTGGCTGGGAATCGAACCCGGACCCTCACCGTGTGAAGCGAGAGCGTTAACCACCAGGCCACCAGAGCCTAGTTACCTAGTTACCGTTGGTTTAATAGATTTTAACCTCCAGGTCCACGAAATCTTTATTAAACCTACAAATTACCTCTTCATAAGTAGAATATTCTTCATTCATTATGTCTGGGATTACAGTATCAGTTCGCAGTATATATGTTTAAAATATTATAAAATACTGAGAAGTTGACGGGTATGACATGTGCAGTAGTTGGGTATATTGTTGAAACGTTTCGCCTATATGGTAGGCTTCTTCAGACATATACAAAAAATGTAGTGTAGACAGCTGGGGTAGTGGCGTGTTATGGTTGTAATTAGTCCATCGCCCTTGGAGAAATAGTTTGAGGTGGTCAGTCCCTATGCCTGGAGGAGAGTTCAGCTTCATGATCTGGAACGATGGTCATTTTAGGCCATGGAGCTGAGCTCTTCTCCAGGCTGAGGGACTGACCACCTTGTTCCAGACCATGGAGCTGAACTCTTCTCCAGGCTGAGGGACTGACCACCTTGTTCCAGACCATGGAGCTGAGCTCTTCTCCAGGCTGAGGGACTGACCACCTTGTTTCAGACCATGGAGCTGAGCTCTTCTCCAGGCTGAGGGACTGACCACCTTGTTCCAGACCATGGAGCTGAACTCTTCTCTAGACTGAGGGACTGACCACCTTGTTCCAGACCATGGAGCTGAACTCTTATCCAGGCTGAGGGACTGACCACATTGTTCCAGACCATGAAGCTGAACTCTTCTCTAGACTGAGGGACTGACCTCCTTGTTTCAGACCATGGAGCTGAACTCTTCTCCAGGCTGAGGGACTGACCACCTTGTTCCAGACCATGGAGCTGAACTCTTCTCTAGACTGAGGGACTGACCACCTTGTTCCAGACCATGGAGCTGAACTCTTCTCCAGGCTGAGGGACTGACCACCTTGTTCCAGACCATGACGCTGAACTCTTCTCCAGGCTGAGGGACTGACCACCTTGTTCCAGACCATGGAGCTGAACTCTTCTCAAGACTGAGGGACTGACCACCTTGTTCCAGACCATGGAGCTGAACTCTTCTCCAGACTGAGGGACTTACCACCTTGTTCCAGACCATGGAGCTGAACTCTTCTCCAGGCCGAGGGACTGACCACCTTGTTCCAGACCATGGAGCTGAACTCTTCTCCAGGCTGAGGAATTGACCACCTTGTTCCAGACCATGGAGCTGTACTCTTCTCCAGGTTGAGGGACTGACCACATTGTTCCAGACCATGGAGCTGAACTCTAGACTGAAGGACTGACCACCTTGTTCCAGACCATGGAACTGAACTCTTCTCCAGACTGAGGGACTTACCACCTTGTTCCAGACCATGGAGCTGAACTTTTCTCCAGAGTGAAGGACTGACCACCTTGTTCCAGACCATGGAGCTGAACTCTTCTCTAGGCTGAGGGATTGACCACCTTCTTCCAGACCATGGCTCTGAACTCTTCTCCAGGCTGAGGGACTAACAACCTTGTTCCAGACCATGGAGCTGAACTCTTTTCCAGGCTCAGGGACTGACCACCTTGTTCCAGACCAAAGAGAAAGTGGCAGCTTCATGGCATGAGGGAATGCTCATGATCGAGCATGGCTCTAAGAATGCTTCTTAAATGGGGTTAAATCCGATGTAGATCTGTAACAAGTGCGTTTTTCCCCAGGGAAACAGTCTTGGGCCCGTTGTTGTTTATAATATATCTCAATGATCTTGATGAGGGAATTACTAGTGATATGAGCAAATTCGCCGATTACACAAAAACAGGTAGGATAACTGATTCAAAAGTGGATATCAGGGAATTCCAGGAGGATTTAGACAAACTCAATAACTGGTCAGAAAAGTGGCAGATGCAGTTCAATGTAGATAAATGCAAGGTTCTGAAGCTTGGGAGTGCCCATAACCCTAGCACTTATAAGTTAAATAATGTAGAACTTAGTCATACAGATTGTGAAAAGGACTTGGGGGTTATGGTGAGCAGCAACCTTAAACCAAGACAGCAATGCCTAATCGTACGTAATAAGGCAAATAGATTACTGGGATTTATATCAAGAAGTGTAAGCAACAGAAGTCCAGAGGTCATATTGCAGCTTTATACATCATTAGTAAGGCCTCACCTAGATTATGCAGCTCAGTTCTGGTCTCCATATTACAGAATGGACATAAATTCGTTAGAAAGCATTCAGCGTAGAATGACTAAATTAATACATAGCATTAGAAATCTTTCCTTTTGAAGAAAGATTAAAAACTCTTAATTACATTCACTTGTTAGACGAAGAATGAGTGAAGACAAAATCAAAGGGTGTATAAGTGGAAAAATGGGAAATTAATGGGGGGAAACTTTAAAATAAGGTTTGAGGATATCTCCCAAGAGAGAATCCACGTAACGGATTCTAATTAGAAAATTTTTAAGTTTTAAAAAGGATTTGGGAAAAGAAATTGATTTGGAAACGGGGTATTTTATGAGGGGGAAACAGCTCCCTAGTTGGGAAACGGGCGGGAACGAGGGCATTAAAAATTTTCTAACACCCAGAAAAAGATACCCCGAAAGAGATAAAATAGTCCCCCCACCCAAACTCCTTTGCCAAAACACGTTTTCCAACATTTTTTTCCAATCCCCCCTTCCCAAGTATCTACCTCCACAAAAAGACCATAAAGGACTTTTACCATTAAAAAGACGGGGAAAGCTTCCACCTCTGTGGGGGTTTACATTTCCCTTGAATATTGCGCAAATTAAAAACGTGGGGGAAAAATAAAGGGAACCTCCAAAAGCAAATTTCAGAACACCAAAAAGAAAGCAGGTCTCATAATACAAGGAATGCCTGTGTACAAAACCGTTAATTCACCCCAACCATTTTAATAATTCGGAAATCAAAACTTTTTCGCCACAGAAGACAACACTCAATACCGGGAAAAATCCGGGTTTTTTCTCTTTTCTCTATATCCAACCCAAAATCCAAACCCGAACCCAAAGGCTTCAAAAACATACCTGAACCACTTGCAAACATGCTTCATCGTTCAACCCCCCAAAAGAAAAAGGAAAAGGAGGAACACTGCAGAAAAATTGCTCCCCAAAATTTTTCAAAACTCCCTTCCAAGGGTACCCCCAAAATTTTTAGACTCTATTTAAACCCCCAACCGGTTAAAAAATCATTAGATACAGCAACCCCCACTTAACCCAGAATTTTGAAAAATGACCTTTTTAAAAACCGCGTACCCTTCCCCCCAGGGAGATAGTTTTGGACTTTTAAAAAGCCCCTTTTGTGGGCGAAACGGTTTTCAAAAAAGTATCACATTATACTTTAAATTGTTTATATTTCCATTGGTTTGGATTTTATACTACAAAATTTTCCCTCTAGGAATTACGTTTGCCTCTTCCACATACAGAACCCCCTGCAAACCCGTTTTAAGAGGGTAAATTAAAAAAATTGTTAATGGTTCACAGACTTCCCCTTTTTTCAAATTTCCCTTTAAAAACCCTTGAAAAAAAACCCCACCAGGACCCCGGGGCCTTTTTGCTTCAAATCTGTCAAACGGGTTCACAACCATTTCACTAGTGACTGTGTGTTAAAATAATTTATCTTCTTTGGGCCCCTTATAAAAAAAATTTAAATTTCTGGGATATTGTTTTTTTTCTTCCTGTGTTTAAAAAACCGAGAAAAATTTTATTTAAAATCCCGCACATTTCATTCTCTTTGTCGTTTAAATGCCCCCAAATTTATTTTAAGGGGACCTATCTTATCTCTAACTTTTGTTTTATACACCTGGAAAAAACTTTTTGGGTTAGTTCTCGAATCCCTAACAACTTTAATTTCATACTCTCTGTTAGCTTTTCTTATCCCCTTTTTAATGTCCCTCTTAATGTCAATATACTGATTCATAAGATGACCCTCGCCTCTTTTGATTCGCCTATAAATTCCTTTCTTCTGCCCTAAAAGATATTTGAGCCTATTATTCATCCATTTTGGGTCATTTCTATTTGACCTAATTTCCTTATATGGGATAAATGTTCTTTGGGCAGCATGTATTGTGTTAAGAAAACTGTCATGCTGATAGCTCTCTTCGTTACCCCAGTCCACAGATGATAAGTGTTCTCTAAGTCCATTGTAATCTGCTAAGCGAAAATCTGGGACCATTACTGAATTATCCCTACTGTCACACTTCCATTCAATGCTCAAGTTAATTGATTTCTGATCGCTTGTGCCGAGTTCCTCTATAATTTCTAAATTACTAACAAGGGTTTCCTTGTTTGCCAGAACCAAGTCAAGCAGGTTATTTCCCCATTTAGGTTCTGTCACAAAGTGCTTCGAAAAACAATCCTGAACTACTTCTAAGAAGTCGTTAGATTCTAAATTCCCAGTCATGAAATTCCAATCAATATGACTAAAGTTAAAATCCCTAGAATTACTACATTATCGTGCCTTGTGGCCCTAACAATTTCCTCCTTGGCAAAATACCACATATGACAGGGTTCCCACCCTTTTTCCTAATTATTTCTATTGCTGACCTATACCTGCTAATCAGGTCCTCACTCCTATGTCTGCCAACATCGTTGCCTCCTGCACTGAGGCAGATAATAGGATTGCTCCCATTACCTTTCATGATGTCGTTCAGACGGCTGACAATATCTCCCATCCAAGCCCCAGGAAAACATACCCTCTGCCTCCTTTTCCTATCCCTAAGACAAAACGCCCTATCCATAAACTTAACCTGACTGTCTCCAACTAAAACAATGTTCTTACCTTTACTTGTGGAATTCGTCGTGACGTTCTCGATGGTCTTCATTGGGGTTTCTGGGGATGTTTCACTCACGTCTGCCAATGCTTCCTTGGTGCTCGTTGTGACGTACCCAGTAGACAACCCACATTCGTCAGGTAGCACCGAAAATGGGTTGGAAGTTTCCATAGTAGTCTTCTGGTTCTTCGTTGTTTCTGCTTCTCCAACAGTCTTCTTGATCCTCAGCTTGGTTCCATGTTGTGCAGCCACTGACCAGGTTCCTCTCTTAACCGGAGGACTCACAACAGGATTACTACGAATCTTCTTGTTCTCCTCCGTTAATCGCCGTATCTCCAGCTAAGCTCTTCTTTCAGCTGCTGGTAGAGTTGCTCAAGAGAGGGCATCCTGGTTCAGATTCAGAGAGAGCACAAGAACAAATCTTCACAGAGCTAAGTACACGTCACCACTGAGCTAAGTACACGTCATCACTGAGCTAAGTACACGTCACCACTCAGCATTTCAGAACTCTTAGATCATATTCACCATAATGAGCTTCATAACGTTGGTGCTCGTGCATGCAATGTTTACATGATATATTAACCTGTTTCTTAACAATTCTCTAGTGTGATGGAAAAGTTTGTTAGTGAAGAATGGAAGCATGAATGGTGAGGTGGTATAAATGGTTGCATGCTTGTTGGGTATTGGGAATGCATTGTTACCTCTCTACCCCCCCCTTCTCAACCCGGTGGGAGTTAACATGCGACCCTCCTAGCATATTGGACATGATATGTAGACACATGTGCAATATCTGGGTATCTCTATTATAGACGTTTCGCCATCCAGTGACTTTACCATTACAAATTTCAGGACATAAGATACCCAGATGTTGCACGTGAGTCTACATATCATCTTGTTGGTATTGTATGCCGTTCTTGTACATACTGGACATGACTTCCTTCTCCCACCAAGTTTCCTTATTGTACGAATTGGGTCGCTCTACGCCGAGACAAGGCAGGTAGCTTGATCTATGCGCTACCTGGAGTCTACTTGGAGGGTATTCCAGGGATCAACTCCCCCGCGGCCCTGTCCATGACCAGGCCTCAGGTCACTAGATCAATAACCTAACATCATCTTCAACTGAACACAGCAGTGTGTCGCTTCACCTTTGTAACTGATCACCTGTGGTCCTCAAAGCCTAGCAACAAACCTCCACTGAGGTTTGTTCCAGTATCTTCCATCAGAGAAACAATTATTGGCGTCTATACTATCATCTAAGACTGAAGGTTATAACCAGAGTTTCGACCACCAGCGACTACTTTGTCTGTTAGGTAAGACACATATGCAACAGTTAGGTATCTTTATTGTGAAACGTTTCGCCTACACAGTAGGCTTCTTCAGTCAAGTACAGAAAAGTTGATAGAAGCAGAAGATACTTGAAGACGATGTAATCAGTCAATCACCCTTAAAGTTTTGAGGTGGTCAGTCCCTCAGTCTGGAGAAGAGCATTGTTCCATAGTATGAAACAATATGGAGAAGAAGTGACAGGATGGAGCTTTTTATAGCGCCAAGAGGTGAGACGTAGGCCACTAGGAGAGGTAAGAACTCAGATGTTGAGAGGTCAGGTCCCTCTCAAATCCAGCCCCTCTCACTAGTGGAAGTTGTCGAAGTTGATTGCAGGTCTGTACCAAGATACCCTTGTGTTGCAGTGTCTGACAGATTGAACATTAAAATGGTATAAAATACCGACAGGTTGTTAGGTAAGACACATATGCAACTACTTTGTCTCACACAGTCTCTTCGTTCACACATAGTGACTCCTAAGAGCTACTTGCCACCTCCATCGGTACATCACAATACCTTCTGTCTGTTGTATAACTTTCGCTTCACGAAATTCATTTATGCATTTTATTTTTCATTATTTGCTTCAGTTATGAAAATGTCAAGTTTATTTTCAATTTATATAAATATATTTTTGGCATTTTTTTCAATAAAATTGTGGTGGTTAACGCTCTCACTTCACACGGTGAGGGCCTGGGTTCGATTCCCAGACAGAGTAGAAACATTGGACGTGTTTCTTTCCACCTGTTGTCTATGTTCCCCATCAGTAAAATGGGTACCTGGGTGTTAGTCGACTGGTGTGGGTCGCATCCTGGGACACTGACCTAAGGAGGCCTGGTCACAGACCGGGCCGCGGGGGCGTTGACCCCCGGAACTCTCTCCAGATAAACTCTCCAGATAATACCCTCTGAGGGTCTGAAAGGGCCATTATACTTGTCAATTTTTCTGATGGGTTAGAACCCGCGGTCAGAGAGTCATAAAACTCCAGACCAACGTGTTAGCCACTGGACCAGCTGGATACAATAAGATTCATCCATCTAGGAATATTTATACACCATAGGAAGGTTAGCATAGGCACCACTGTGACCACAGTGGTGCCTGTGCTGACCTTCCTATGGTGCAGAAATATACCTAGATGGATGAATCTTATTGTATCCAGCTGGTCCAGTGGCTAACACGTCGGTCTGGAGTCTTGAGACTCTTTGATCGCGGGTTCTAACCCCACCCGTGGTGTGCTTTGTTGGCAATCGTGTCATTACGATTTCGTGAGTCAGTTACCATATACTGGTTAGTTAATATTAAAAATACTTTTTGGGAATTAATAAAAAGTATTGTTAAAGCATTTTATTACATAAAATGTCATATAATTGCACTTAATTCTAACAATGTTCGAGAAATATGTCATAAAATCGACAGTATTTATCAAAATATAATAACAATAAAGTTGATGCAGGAAGTGGAGCCAGATGATCCAGTCTTAAGGTGTTTGTGAGGTGGATCAGTCTTGCCCTCCGTGGGTCACGGTCGTCCACTCTTGACCTCTGTGGTGCGATGTGGTTCAGGCCTGACCTTGGTAGGGCAAGTTGGTCCAAGTTTGATATTCCAGAGAGAGATGATCGAGTTCTGACCTTCTTGCAACGTTGACCAGAGTCTTGACCTTCGCGTCAAGAGGACCACTAATGAGTGGGGTGACACAGCCTTGACCTCCATGAGTTCAAATGGATCACAATTGTCAGTCTCAAATTTAAACCTTCTGTGAACACAATCCTGAATGCACACTGACACATGGATATCAAATCTGCTACAGTCTGCGTTGCTTCTAACACGACTGTTGTTTTTAACAAGAGTGTTCGTTATATCAGAAGTGTTGCCTATAACACAGATGTAGAGGCTGGATGCTGCTGTCAGCAAACCTCACTTGACCATAAGACAAGTCAAATGGTAATCTATGAAATTAGTGTTATTTACAATAATTATAGAAATGAGAACCTAAAGCATGAAAGCGGAAAGAAAAATAAGAAACGGCACAATTTGCTTGCTATATCTTCCTGACCCCAACTAATAAATAGGAATAATAACTTATTTCGAGGAACGTATTGTTTACTTAATGGTACAATGATACCACAGTAACAAGTGGGGTTCCAAAGCATTACCAGCAGATGCACAGTGCATTTAGAAATACACGTTTAAGACTAGCTTTTGGCAGCAAATTTCGTTAGTTATAGGTATTAGGTGTCGAGGACGGATAGGAGGCTTGCCCCTCATAGGTGACCTTAGCCAGGTAACCTAAGTCGTTGTTTGCTGTGAAGGTGACCACCTGCTTGCGGCCGTCAGGGAGAACAACAGAATATTCCCCGTTCGTCACCAGTCCATCTGAGTTCGCTCTGTGACTGAACATGTTACCGCTGTATTCGTCGTTGACAGCATAAGCAAAGTCGAACGGCATTCCCTTCTGCAAGTGAGAGTAAATTTTGAGGGACAGGAAATATTAATATTAGCAAAAAGTAGAATCCATAACATTTATATCCGTTCTGAAATTCGGTGATTAAAACTGCAGCATAATCTGAAGGAGCTCACACACACTGAGGTCTGGGGTTCGAATCTCCTGCGGAACGGCTGGAAAATATTAGGGACGTGTTTCCATAAGACACCTGCTGTCCCTGTTCACCCATCAGTGTAAAATGGGTACCTGGGTGTTAGTCGGCTGGTGTGAGTCGCATCCTGGGACAAAAAAAAACTGACTTAATTTGCCCGAAATGCACAGCATAACAAGGGGCTTTCTATATAATAGTATGTCATTGATGTCAGCTATGGTCAGTATACCTTGTACATGTACTTGTATACCTTGAACGTGTACTTGTATACCTTGTACATGTACTTGTAGTAAATAAAGATATTAACCTGAGGTCTCCTATAATTTATACTTCTTGATATGAAGCCAAGGATTCTGTTAACTCTATTGCGAACACTAATGCACTGTTGTCTTAGTTTCAGATTACTGCTAACCAGAACTAAATCCTTTTCACAATCAGTAACATTAAGATCTACATTATTTAGTTTATATGTGGCATGGTTATTTTCCTGTCCAATGTTTATAACTTTGCAATTGTCTAAATTAAACTGCATCTGCGACTTGTCCGATCACTGCATCAGTCTATTCAAATCATCCTGGAGTGAACTAGTGTCCTCGTCAGAATGAATTCGTTGGCCTATTTTGGTCATCGGCAAACTTGCTTATATTGCTATTTATTCTCTCTTCTAAGTCGTTTATGTAGATTGTGAAAAACAAGGGGCCCAACACTGACCCCTGTGGAACACTTCTTGTGAGGCTTCCCCACTCTGATTACCCCCCATTTACGCAAACTCTCTGCTGCCTATCTGTCAACCATGCCTCTATCCAATAGTCTTTGATGTGGGACTCTATCAAAAGCCTTACCGAAGTCCATTTACACAATATTATATTCATTACCTAGATCTACCTCCTCAAATACTTTAGTGAAAAAAGTTAATAAATTTATAAGGCAGGAACGCCCATTTGTAAAAGCGTGCTAAGATTCGTTGATCAGTTTATGCTATTCAAGGTAGCTAGTAATTGCCTTGGCAATTATTGATTTCACAAATTTTCCTACTATGGAGGTTAGATTTATTGGTCTATATTTCGAAGCTAAGGACCTGTCACCTGCTTTGAAAACAGGTATTACATTTGCCATTTTCCACTTATCTGGCACCATGCCAGTTTGTAGTGATATGTTGAAAAGATTAGCCAAAGGTGTGCTAAGCTCCTCTTTACATTCCTTTAGAACCCTTGCATACAGTTCATCAGAGCCTGGGCATTTGTTAGGTTTTAATTTATCTATTTACCTAAAGACCATGTCACTTGTGATGCTAATCGTGCATAGTTTACTATCGTCCTGTCCTACATAATTTATTATTTCTGGAATATCACTAGTATCTTCCTGTGTAAAAACTGAGAAGTATGTGTTAAAAATTCTACACATTTCCTTATCACTGTCCGTGAGCTGACCTGAGTAACTTTTGAGTGGGTCTATCTTGTCCCTGATCATACTTCTGTATACCTGAAAGAATCCTTTTGGGTTAGTCTTCGATTCTCTTGCAACTTTAACCTCATAATCTCTTTTTGCTTTTCTTATTCCCTTTTTTATTTCTCTCTTTAACTGAATATACTGATTTCTTAATTGCCCCTATCCTCTTTTGATTTGCCTATATATGCCTCTCTTTTGACCAGTGAAATGTTTTAATCTATTGTTCATCCATTTAGGATCATTTATTTTATCTGATTTCCCTATTCGGAACATAAGTTTTCTGAGCAGCTGGAACTATGCCCTGGAAAATGTCATATCAGCAATCATCGCCAACTACCTGATCTATAGTCAGGTTATTCCAATTCAGCTAAACCAGGTAATTTCTCAGTCCTATGAAATCAGCCAAGCAGAAGTAGTCAGGAACTGAGACCTGATTGCCATTATTAGGGTAATTCCGTGAGTGATTAGCGATCACTTTCCCCAAGTTCATCATTAACTTCAAGATTATTAATCAGTGATTTCCTGCTGGCAAGAATCAAGTCGAGCAGGTTATTCCCTCTAGTTGGCTATGTCATAAACTGTTTTAAAAAGCAATCCTGAATTGTATCAAGAAAGTCACCTGACTCTAAATATCCCATCAAATTGCTCCAGACAGTTTGCCTAAAATTGAAATCTCACATTACCACAGCATTTTCGTATGTAGATGCCTTACGAATTTCGTCCCATAAAAGATTACTGTAATCCCTATCAAGATTTTGGACCCTGTAAATCACACCATTGATTAGTTTTTCACGGCCCTCGAGAAGCTGTAACCAAACAGATTCAGTGGCTGATGCTTCTAATTTTATATCATGTCTAATACAGCAAGTCAAATTATTTCTGACATCGCTACTTCACCACCCTTCCTCTTGACCTCACAAGTGTGGAATTATTTATAGCCTTGTATGTGGCGTGCAGAAGGCATTTCTCCATCTTTCAAACTGAGCCAGGTCTCTGTTATAGCAATAATATCTATGCTTCCTGCATTTGCAGTTAATCTTAGCTCATCTATCTGATCTCTTACACTCCTGCTATTAGTATAGTAGACTTTAAGGGAGCTAGTCCATTGCTGCTCTCTGCTGTCTCCCTTTGCTAACCTGATCCATTGTCTTTATTTGTAACTTTATGATGAATACTGTCTAATAAACATTTACCATTTTTCAGCTCTAGTGCTGCAACCTGACTGTTTCCCACACACACCCGTACCTCTATCTTCTATCAGTTTAAAATCCTAGATATGTCAGCAATGGCCCTCTCGATCGAGTTGGCAAATGCTACCACCCCTGCCCCAGAAAGATGTACCCCATCCCTGGCATACATATCACATTTGCCATAAAAGTTATTCCAGTTGTCAATGAATGGGATTGCAAGTTCCTTGCAGTATCTGTCAAGCCAGCAATTTACACCAGTTGCCTTAGACATTCATTCATTGCCCACTCCCCTTCTAGGCAAGATGCTACATATGACTGGAACCCCTCCCTAAGACCTAGTTAAATCGACAGCTGACCTGTACTTATCTAGCAGCTCATCTCTCATACCCTTCCAGATATCATTTCAACCAGCACTGAGACAGATAATGGGCTTGTTCCCATTACCTGACATGATATTACCCAACCTGTTGAGTATGTCACTAACAACAGTGCCATGAAAGCACACCCACTCTTCCTCACCTTCTTATCCCTATTACAGAAAGCACGGTCCATATATCTTACCTGTGAGTCATCAACCACAAGAATTCGCTTACCTCTATTAGCAGGAGAAGTAGTACCTTTACCTTCACTGATCACTGAAGTACACTCACCCTGAAGAACAGAGAAGCGATTTCCTACCTTCAAATCTTCTCTTTTAACTTTATTTTGATGTTCCTTCCATTACTGGGATCCACTCGCCACTTGTAGCAGGTGCTGGACTGCACCTCACTGAGAGGAGCCTTTTCATCCTCCCTAGCTTCAGCCTCCTCGCAGCCAGTGACAGACTGCTCCTCACTGCTGGTAGCTTTATTCCCCTCACCCACTCCAGCCACCTCACACTCACTTCTAAACCCATCGAGGTGAGCCTTCAGCCTCCTAGTTTCTTCCTGGAGAAGTAGGACCTCCTCTTTCAAAGCTCTTACCTCAGATTTTAAAGCACTGAAGGAGCAAGCCATGGCTTTGTAACCCTCGACACTAATCCCCAAAGCTGAGATTTATGGAGTACATGTGAAATTAGAAGATATTGTTTCTTACCTCACCATAAGACTGGTTAGGAGTGTAGCCAGAAGTTAACTGCCGGGATTCAAGATCATTTTGTGATGAAATTGCTGAGTTGTGTAGACCCAGTGAGCCAGCCACACCTCCCAGAGATCCTGAGGCTCCGTATGATGCTGTTAGGTCATGTGACCCTGATCCTCCAGAGAAGCCCTGGCCTGACCCTGAACCACTGCTTCCTGTGCTTCCAAAACCTGATCCTCCTGAGTAGCCCTGACCTGACCCTAAACCACTGCTCACTGTGCTTCCAAAACCTGATCCTCCTGAGTAGCCCTGACCAGACCCTAAACCACTGCTTCCTGTACTTCCAAAACCTGACCCTCCTGAGTAGCCCTGACCTGACCCTAAACCACTGCTTCCCGAGCTTCCAAAACCTGATCCTCCAGAGTAGCCCTGACCTGACCCTACACCAATACTTCCTGTGCCTCCAAAACCTGACCCTCCTGAGTAGCCCTGACCTGACCCTAAACCACTGCTTCCCGAGCTTCCAAAACCTGATCCTCCAGAGTAGCCCTGACCTGACCCTACACCAATACTTCCTGTGCCTCCAAAACCTGATCCTCCTGAGTAGCCCTGACCTGACCCTACACCAATACTTCCTGTGCCTCCAAAACCTGATCCTCCAGAGTAGCCCTGACCTGACCCTACACCAATACTTCCTGTGCCTCCAAAACCTGATCCTCCTGAGTAGCCCTGACCTGACCCTACACCAATACTTCCTGTGCCTCCAAAACCTGACCCTCCTGAGTAGCCCTGACCTGACCCTAAACCACTGCTTCCTGTGCTTCCAAAACCTGATCCTCCTGAGTAACCCTGACCTGACCCTAAACCACTGCTCCCTGTACTTCCAAAACCTGATCCTCCTGAGTAGCCCTGACCTGACCCTAAACCACTGCTTCCTGTGCTTCCAAAACCTGATCCTCTTGAGTAGCCCTGACCGAAACCCCAAACCACTGCTTCCTGTGCTTCAAAACCCGAAACCTCTTGAGTAGCCCTGACCTGACCCCTAAACCCCTGCTCCCGTGCTTCCAAAACTTGATCCTCCTGAGTAGCCCTGACCTGACCCTAAACCACTGCTTCCTGTACTTCCAAAACCTGATCCTCTTGAGTAGCCCTGTCCTGACCCTAAACCACTGCTTCCTGTGCTTCCAAAACCTGATCCTCCTGAGTAGCCCTGACCTGACCCTGAACCACTGCTTCCTGTGCTTCCAAAAAACCCGATTCCTACTGAGTAGCCCTGACCTGACCCTAAACCACTGCTTCCTGTGCTTCCAAAACCTGATCCTCCTGAGTAGCCCTGACCTGACCCTGAACCACTGCTTCCTGTGCTTCCAAAACCTGATCCTCCTGAGTAGCCCTGACCTGACCCTAAACCACTGCTTCCTGTGCTTCCAAAACCTGATCCTCCTGAGTAGCCCTGACCTGTCCCTGAACCACTGCTTCCTGTGCTTCCAAAACCAACATTAATTATCTCATTTGAAGATTGATAAGCTGATGAAGATTCTGATGTGAATTTAGAAGAACCAATTGAGGAAGCAAAAGAACCGAGGTTCTGTTCAGGTGCTCCATAGGTCGGTTTAGGTGGTCCATATGTAGGTGTAGGTGCTCCATATGTGGGTTTAGGTGGCCCATAAGTAGGTGTAGGTGTTCCATAAGTTGGTTTAGGTGGTGCATATGTAGGTGTAGGTGTGTTGTAAGTTGGCTTAGGTGGTCCATATGTAGGTGTAGGTGTGGTGTAAGTTGGTTTAGGTGGTGTGTAGGACGGTATAGGTGCTACATAGGTTGGTTTAGGTGGTCCATATGAAGGTTTAGGTGTGCTGTAGGTTGGTTTAGGTGGCCCATATGTAGGTGTAGGCGTTCCGTATGTTGGTTTAGGTGGTCCATATGAAGGTGTAGGTGTGGTGTAAGTTGGTTTAGGTGGTGTGTAGGACGGTATTGGTGCTACATAGGTTGGTTTAGGTGGTCCATATGAAGGTTTAGGTGTGCTGTAGGTTGGTTTATGTGGCCCATATGTAGGTGTAGGCGTTCCGTATGTTGGTTTAGGTGGTCCATATGAAGGTTCAGGTGTGGTGTAAGTTGGTTTAGGTGGTGTGTAGGACGGTATAGGTGCTACGTAGGTTGGTTTAGGTGGTCCATATGAAGGTTTAGGTGTGCTGTAGGTTGGCTTAGGTGGCCCATATGTAGGTGTAGGTGTTCCATATGTTGGTTTAGGTGGTCCATATGAAGGTTTAGGTGTTGTGTAAGTTGGTTTAGGTGGTGTGTAGGACGGTATAGGTGCTACATAGGTTGGTTTAGGTGGTCCATATGTAGGTGTAGGTGTTCCGTATGTTGGTTTAGGTGGTCCATATGAAGGTTTAGGTGTGGTGTAAGTTGGTTTAGGTGTGTATGAGGGTATAGGTGCTGCATAGGTTGGTTTAGGTGGTCCATATGAAGGTTTAGGGGTGCTGTAGCTTGGTTTAGGTGGTCCATATGAAGGCTTAGGTGTGCTGTAGGTTGGTTTAGGTGGTCCATATGAAGGTTTAGGTGTGGTGTAAGTTGGTTTAGGTGGTGTGTATGAGGGTACAGGTGCTACATAGGTTGGTTTAGGTGGTCCATATGAAGGTGTAGGTGTGCTGTAGGTTGGTTTAGGTGCATAGGAAGTAATAGGTGGTGTATAGGTAGGTTTAGGGGGTGGGTAGGCCGTTGTTGGTGGACTGTAGGTTGGTTTAGGAGGTGTGTAGGTTGGTTTAGGTGTATAGGAAGTAATTGGTGGGCTATAGGTAGGTTTAGGTGGTGTGTAGGATGGTGTAGGTGAACTGTAAGTTTGTTTAGGTGGTGTATAAGGTTTAGGTGTACCGTATGTTGGTTTAGGTGGTGTATAAGGTTTAGGTGTACCGTATGTTGGTTTAGGTGGTGTATAAGGTTTAGGTGTACCGTATGTTGGTTTAGGTGGTGTATAAGGTTTAGGTGTACCGTATGTTGGTTTAGGTGGTGTATAAGGTTTAGTTGTACCATATGTTGGTTTATAAGTAGCTGGCGTAGTATAGCTTGGGTTTATAGCTGGAGGTTCATTAGCTGGTTCAAGAGCAGGTAAGCCAAAAGCTATGTCTGGCAGGTCACCTGGAGCAAGACCTTCAGGTGGTAGGTAACCTGTGTCAGGTTCCTGGTAGGTGGGCTGGCTGTGGTCTACCTCCTCCCCTGGCAGACCGAAGCCCTTGAATGGTGCTTCATAGCTGTAGCCCTTGTTGAGCTCTGGTTGTGGGCCCGCGTCAGGTGTTGGTGTAGGCACACCCACGACGGCCAACACCACACAACACAACACTGTCACCTGGAAAACAACACTGTCACCTAAAACATTGCTGTTTTTTTAGAAATGGATCGAAATGTGTTCATTTCAATGTTTCTTAACATCTATAAAGAACAAGATTATATATCACAGTAAGTTCTGTCCAGCTTTCACTGGTTAAATAAATCAAGGAACGGGTGAGTTATGAACAAATTGCAAGTGAACCCTAACGCTCCCAGGCTAGCTGGCTCAAGATCCTTATAACTAAGCATATTTCTATACACCATAGGGAGGTTAGCATGGACCACCACTGTGACCACAATGACCAGAACGCTGAGGTCAGTGGTCAGTACGCTGAGGTCAGTAGCAAGTACACTGAGGTCAGTGGTCAGTATGCTTAGGTCAGTGGTCAAGAGAGTTCATTCTGTCCTATGCTGTCTGGAAATTAGCGTGGTGTGTTACTGAGCACCATGGTTTGCTGTCAGCATAGTTGCTGATCCCTGTATTCCCAGTATTATATAGCATAGCATATTAGTATCATCCATGTGCTTTAGATACGAGATCCCTTGTAGGCCTGTGGCTTTGTGTGACGTCACAGGATGCACATGTGGAGGTTCATACCTCTGCCCCGGCCTCACTCGGCGGCAGACCATCCAGGCGAAGACAGGCAAGGCACTGGGCTCCATCCCTCATCTCAGTCTGACAATATAGTTACCATCCTACAAGTGTGTCTACCTTCAACCTACGATATCTCCATTAAAGAACCCTTACGATATTGCTGTAGTATTTTAGAATCTCAGGTTCATATGTTGAAGGAGGTTGTAATTTTTCAGGAGGAAAACAGAAGGTTGAAACTTCGCCTAGATGGGTTTGCGAGTGAGTGTGAGGTGGTTGGAGCTGGTAAGGAGGAAAAGGTTACCAGCAGTGGGTTGGAGAGTGGCAGCCACTTTAAATGGCAAGTGGCTCACACTTCAGTAAGAAGTATCAAGATAAGAAAGGTTAATAGAGAAGATATGAAAGTTGAAAATCGATTCTCTCTTCTCTAGGGTGAGTGTACTTCAGTGGTTAGTGAGGCTAAAGGTACCACCGGCTCCCCTGCTAATCAAGGTAAGAACATTCTGGTGGTGGGAGACTCCCAGATAAGATATATGGATTATTCTTTTTGTAACAGAGATAGAAAGGTGAGACAGTGTGCTTCCCAGGAGCTGGTGTTGGTGACATAGTCAACAGGTAGGATAATATTATGTCAGGTAATGGGAACAAACCCATTTTATATCTTAGTGTTGGTGGAAATGACACTGGGAAGGGCAAGAGACAGAAGCTGCTGGATAAGTACAGGTCAGCCACAGATGTAGTCATGTCTAAGGGAGGGGTCCCAGTCATAAGTAGCATTTTGAAAAGAAGAGGTTTGAGCATTGAATGGATGTCTAGGGCAACTGGAATAGATAGCTGGCTAGACAGGTACTGCAACGAACTTGCAATCCCATTCATTGATAACTGGGACAAATTCTATGGCAAACGTGATATATATGCAAGGGATGGGGTATATCTCTCTGGGGCCAGAGTGGTTGCATTAGCTAACTCGATTGAGAGGGTCATTGCTGACTTGTCTAGAACTTTAAACTGTTAGATTATAGAGATGTGGGTGTGTGTGGGAAACAAGCTGCAGTACAAGGGTTGAAAACAGCAGATATTACCAGGATACCTCAAGGATATGTTTAAAAGATAATATTAAAAATAAAGTTGCAAATAAAGGCAAAACAATTGATCAACCAACAAAGGGCAACGAGTGACTAGCTCCCTTAAGGTTTACTATGCAAATAGTAGGAGTCTAAGAAATAAGATAGATGAGCTAAGATTACTCGCAAGTGCAGGTAATATAGATATTATTGGCATAACAGAGACCTGGTTCAACCTGAAAGATAGGGAAATGCCTTCTGAATGCAACATACAGGGTTATAAACTATTCCACACTGATAGGGGCAACATGAAAGGTAGTGAAGTGGCAATGTATGTTCGAGATAATTTAAATTGTCGTGTTAGACATGATATAAGATTAGAAACATCAGACATAAAATCTGTTTGGCGACAGTTTCTCGAGTGTCGTGAAAAATTTATTTTGGGTGTGACATATAGGTCCCCAAACCTTGATAGGGAGTGCAGTAAGCTGTTATGGGACGAAATTCATAAGGCATCTAGATATGAAAATGTTGTGTTAATGGAAGATTTTAACTTTAGACAAACTGATTGGAACAATGTGACAGGAAATCTCGAGTCTAGTGACTTTCTTGATGCGGTTCAGGATTGCTTTTTAAAATAGTTTGTGACAGAACCAACTAGAGGAAACAATCTGCTGGACTTGGTTCTTGCCAACAAAGAATCACTAATTAATAATCTTGAGGTTAATGATGAGTTTGGTGAAAGTGATCACAAATCACTTAGTTTCAATATATCATGGAATTACCCAAATAACTACAATCAAGTCTCTGTCCTTGACTTCCACTTGCCCGATTTCATGGGACTGAGAAATTACCTGGGTGGGCTGAATTGGAATGACTTGAGTATGGGTGAGATAGGTGGTGTTGACTGCCCATACAACTTATGTTAGGAGAAGGGAAATTATCCCAGATGGATGAACAATAGATTGAAAGATCTCATTGTCATAAGAGAGGCATATACAGGAGAATCAAAAGAGGGGATGGGCAGTTAAGAAATCAATATTCAATTTAAGAGAGAAATAAAAAAAAAGTAAGAAAAGCAAAAAGAGATTATGAGGTTAAAGTCGCAAAGGATTCGAAGACTAACCCAAAAGGGTTCTTTCAGGTAAACAGAAGTAAGATTAGGGACAAGATTGGCCCACTTAAGAGTAACTCTGGTCAGATCACTGCCAGTGATAAGGAAATGTGTGAAATTTTCGACACTTACTTCTTCTCAGTTTTTATTCAGGAAGATACTAGTGAAATTCCAGAAATAATAAATTATGTAGAACAGGGCGATAATAAACTATGTACGATTGTGGTAACTAGTTAAATGGTCCTCAGACAAATAGAGAAATTAAAACCTAACAAATCCCCAGGTCCTGATGAACTGTTTGCAAGGGTTTTAAAGGAATGTAAAGAGGAGCTTAGCAAACCTTTGGCTAATCTTTTCAACATATCACTATCAACTAGCATAGTGCCAGATAAGTGGAAAATGGCAAATGTAATACCTATTTACAAAGCAGGTGACAGGTCCTTGTTTTCGAACTATAGACCAATAAGCCTAACCTCCATAGTGGGAAAATTTATGGAATCAATAATTGCCGAGGCAGTTCATAGCCATCTTGACAGGCACAGATTGATTAATGATTCTCAACTCGGTTCTACAAAGGGGCGTTCCTGTCTTACGAATTTACTAACTTTTTTCACTAAGGTGTTTGAGGAGGTAGATCATGGTAATGAATATGATATTGTGTATATGGACTTCAGTAAGACTTTCGATAGAGTTCCACACCAGAGGCTATTGAGGAAACTTAAGGCACACGGAATAGGAGGAGAAATTTTTTCCTGGATAGAGGCATGGTTGACAAATAGGCAGCAGAGAGTTTGCATAAATGGGGAGAAATCATAGTGGGGAAGCGTCACGAGCGGTGTTCCACAGGGGTTAGTGTTGGGCCCCTTTTTGTTCACAATTTACATAAACAACATAGGTGGGAGAATAAACAGCGACATAAGCAAATTTGCTGATGACACCAAAATAGGCCGTCCAATTCATTCTAATGAGGACATTAGAGAACTCCAGGAAGATTTGAATAGACTGATGCAGTTGTCGGAGAAGTGGCAGATGCAGTTTAATATAGACAAATGCAAAGTTCTAAATGTTGGACAGGAAAATAACCATGCCACATATGAACTAAATAATGTAGATCTTAATATGTGCATAAGTGTTCGCAATAAAGCTAATAGAATCCTTGGCTTCATATCAAGAAGCATAAATAATAGGAGTCCTCAGGTTGTTCTTCAACTCTATACATCCTTGGTTAGGCCTCATTTAGATTATGCTGCACAGTTTTGGTCACCGTATTACAGAATGGATATAAATGCTCTGGAAAATGTACAAAGGAGGAAGACAAAGTTGATCCCATGTATCAGAAACCTTCCCTATGAGGATAGACTAAGGGCCCTGAATCTTCACTCTCTAGAAAGACGTAGAATTAGGGGGGATATGATTGAGGTGTATAAATGGAAAATATGAATAAAGGGGATGTAAATAGCATACTAAAAATATCTAGCCAAGACAGGACTCGCAGCAATGGTTTTAAGTTGGAAAAATTCAGATTCAGGAAGGATATAGGAAAACACTGGTTTGGTAATAGAGTTGTGGATGAGTGGAACAAATTCCTGAGTACCGTCATAGGAACTAAGACGTTGTGTAGTTTTAAAAATAGGTTAGATAAATACGTGAGTGGGTGTGAGTTGGACCTGTCTAGCTTGTGCTAGTGGGTCTGATGCCGTGCTCCTTCCTTAAGTGGATGTGGCCGGACCTGACTAGGTTAGATAAGTGGCATAAGCCGATCGGTGACTTGAACCTGCCACGCATGGGCCAGCAGGCCTCCTGCAGTGTTCCTTCTTTCTTAAAATACAACGGAGGAGAACAGGCCACCTAGCCTTATCTCTCTCTTCCTGGGGTGGCCCGGTGGCCTGGTGGCTAAAGCTCCCGTTTCACACACGGAGGGCCCGGGTTCGATTCCCGGCGGGTGGAAATTCCGACACGTTTCCTTACACCTATTGTCCTGTTCACCTAGCAGCAAATAGGTACCTGGGTGTTAGTGGACTGGTGTGGGTGGCATCCTGGGGGACAAGATTAAGGACCACAATGGAAATAAGTTAGACAGTCCTCGATGACGCACTGACTTTCTTGGGTTATCCTGGGTGGCTAACCCTCCGGGGTTAAAAATCCGAACGAAATCTTATCTTATCTATCTTATCTTATCTGTCTACCTACAACCTTCCTCGCTTCACTGTTCTCCCCTCAAGTCCTTCCCATCCTTTATCCTGGCACTG